AACTAACATTGTCTGAATTTAAAGTACTGTAAATAAACATCAATACAGCCACTTGGTAGAATTTTTTATTGATATGAAGAGTTTATACTTGATCGCTACGATAACCAGAACCTCAACGTGTACAGAGGCTCATAAAGCAGTATATTCTAAAAGATCGCAACCATTTTGAGTTAGTCATACACTTTTTCTAGAGATAATGAAGTCTCCAAAGTCATTTTTACGCGTTTTAAATAGATTTCAAGTTTATTTACATTTATTTTTAATACAAGCGTACTCCTTTCAGTTCTTAAGACAATAATAGTCTTGATTAACAGGATCAACCACGGGAAGGTAAGAGTACATTTGATCCCAAAAAGAAGGTATACAGAGTATTAACGGTGTACATACCTTGTAAAAAAAGGGGGTGGATATATCAAGAATGAACTTATACATCTGAAAAGCCTAGAAAGCGCAAGTTGAACAGTCCCAAGCCAATAGATCTAGGAGAGCCTCTGCTCCAGGTAAGAGGATTACTGTCCTTATCAGCCGGATTGACAGACTGCCAACAGGTAGCTATCGATAGACCCAACCTCTTCTACCAGTCGTCTCGCAAGCTCAGAAGTTGGCTTTGACCCAGCAAACTATACAAAATAGCTTTTGGTTCGATACCGCCTAGTAACAGCATAAGCACCTATTCGAGTAGCCACACTTGGAGAGCATTTCTCTGTTCACAGATAAAGGGCAAAGCGGTTAATCACATAACAGGACCTGGTCCCAACCAATGTAGCCGGCCCAGAATCTGCAAGTCACTTGAATCACCAACATGACCGTACTAGGATTACAGCGTGAACAGAGAGCGTGTTCAGTCCTCAAAGGATGAACGGAGTCAAAACACAAAGCATCGTTACAGGGAGAAAAAAAGCAAGGAGTATCTGTAAAGAAAAGAAAAAGAAAAAGGAAAAAAAAGAGGTAGGTCAGAAATACTCTAAAGCGTTGACAGTCGGTTATTCAAATGATAACATTTTATTGCTAATACTCCTTAATAGCCTGTCTTTGTTGATGCACATGCGGCTTTCAACAAAAGGCCTTGGTCAGCTGATAGAGGCCAACTACCTTTAGTGTGTTTGAAAGGACACTTGTAAGGACATAAAATGAAATGGAATTATAAAAATAGAAACGCACTTATTTGCTTTGAGACACTGAACAAACTTATATTAGTGAAATATTGCTCATAGCACTATTAACAGTGTATTATAAGATGAGCCAGAAAGAGTTACTTTCATAGACTACATTGCTGAAAACAGCAACAGAAATAGCACATGGGGCACTATAGGAGCAAATGTCAAAGAAAATCAAGCAAGAAACCAGCACAAAGAACGATCCGTATCGTCAGTTCCTTCTTCTCAAATAAAACTGTAGCAACAGTTGGAAGAGATGTTGTACTTGAAATGTACAGTAAGATTGAAGCCAAATACAAAAAAGCTCTTTCAACAGAAAAGAATGTTGGCGATTACATGGAGCATTTGGAAAAAATGTCGGCGTTCGAGCATTCAGCATATTCTTTTAGAAAGATAAGCTCAATGTTATTGCATAGCTCCATTCATTTATTACTTGTAAATCCGCTTGGACAATTTCATTTAGTCAAATATATTACGCACTTTTATTATTTGAGTAAATCAGTGCTGGCTTTGTGAGTTCTTGGTATGAGGAATCATTAGTGGGCATATAGGTAAAGCGATGCACGTAAGCTATCAGACCTTTACCAAAGTGAAAGGCAAAAGATGAAATGAACACTCACCCATCCTGCTTTCTGTTGATTCATATCGTTGTTTTTTCTGCCTCAGTTTCTATAAAAAGGTCTAAAAGGCATATCTATTTTGCACTTCTGAAGATAAAAACGCGACACAAAAGTACCTTTACCATCTCTTCGGAACTTGGAGGAACTGGAACAAGTATGACTTCCAATTACATAATCTGAAGCACTGGCTCAAGAGCCGAACATCAATCGAAAAAACGAAAGAGAGTGATTTATCCAAGTTAACAGACGTTTCTTCTAGAGAAATTATTATCTGTAATACTTCATTGTTCCTGGACAATAGTTTTGGTAGTTCTAATAACTTCTCGCTTGCATCTGGCTCTTCCCGATGGCATCATTCTGAACCAACAATCCGTAGAGACCTTTTTGAACTCTTTCACCTTCCATAGGGTCAAATTTCAGAACCTCATCCACAATGTTGATATAATACATGTGCTCATCTGGTATATCATAACTAGGCATTTTATAGTAACCAGGTGGCAGAACAAAAAAACACAAGAGAAGCAACCCAAAAATAGAAATTTACTTTTTTATCAGCCCAAGCTATTTCCTTGGCTCTTCTAAATTTATCATCGTCATGGTAACACACATGGGCTTTACTATTAAAAAAAGAAGCAAAAGAAGACAGTGTGAGGCTTTGCTAGCATAGATCTAAGCATATATACAAACATATAAATATGAAGCTATTGTTCTTTATTTTTCGGTTTTTAGCTTTTTACTATTTCCTTTTGATTTTCTATTTACAACAAATATGGGTCAATACAAATGCTGCTGTTGCGTCCCCGTTCGGTAATTCAGAATAAACAACCATTAACAGACAAAAAGTATTAATACAGAATGATTAGAGCTGGTGTCTTGATGATTGCTTTAATATCAGCAGTAATGTTTAAACTAGATATAAAAACAGTAACCGCCTTTTAACAATGTTCAATCTTAGGCTTTCTATATTGCTGTAACTGTAGGCTTATGCTTGGATATTCCGAGATTGAGTGAGTCTTAAAGCTTGTGTTTAATTCTTTTTACTAAGTAGTTTCCTGAATATAGATGAGGATGATGGCGCATATGTCACACCTGCTATGAGAGGAGTTCACTATACTTCAATTGCCTTCTCTGTTATATTTGCCTTTTGTTCTCTATTTGGTGTTATCGGAAGCATTACAGTAAGTACATATTTGTATGTGGCTGTTTCAGTGGCTGATGCGTAAACTAAATTTAGCAACATCGTAAAATGGTCGCCACATTTAAACTAGCTTACTGGACATCAGCCCTTATTGCGGCCATTCTGTCTATTGCTGTTATTGTTGTTCTCGCAGTTCAGCGAACTGAAGTCATTGGCAGATGTGGAGCTCTTAATCCAGATGAATCAATCGGCTCTTGTCCAGAATTTTACAGAAACTTTATGATTGCTCTCTGTGTTCTTATTGTCTTTGTCAACTTTATTCAGGTAAGGCAATGAATGTACGTTTATGGCTGAATCTTTGTTCAAATTCTTTCATAGTTTTACTTTGCCGCTGCCATCAGTTCGTATGCGACACGTCTGCGTAGAACTAACATGCATGAAAAGCTCAGGAACTTGGAAGATTTCCCTGAGCCGCCTAGTAAAACCGAATTTTTCTAGGTTACAAGAAAGCCAAGAAATGTACACTCTGTTCGTCAATCATTTGCTAGATTCTACTTTCCTTATACCATATTCTTATAAACGCAGAATCCAACTGCTGTATCACTTTTTATCTTCGTGGAATCCCCACTTTTTGTATTATTTTTTTATTAAATAGTTGTATCTATTAAAGAACTGTAGTTGTGAAAATATGTAACTTTTTTTTTTCTAAGCCTGATGAGCGCTGTAGGCCGCGTTGACGTTATGTACAATCAGCAAATACTAAAATAACAAGGGCTTTTCCTTATTTTAATCCTACCAGGCAGTGTTCTCAGCCCAGCTATTCTTGTTGATCACAATACTAAAGAAGCTCGGTTTATCATGTATTAATGACTCTAAGCTCACTCAATTTGTTCTACAATTAAAGCATAGATCCATCACTTTCTACAAGGTTTAAAAACCTTTAGGCATGTGATTCTAAATGGTCCTTCAATAGATTTCTGCGATGTAGAATTCCTTGATTGAAGTCCTTATTTCATTTTGAAGTCAATTGGGTGAATGCGTGTACGTTAAAACGACTACAGTCATGTCCTCCTTTTTATATAAGTGTGCTTCATTATCCTGGGAAAAAAAATTCACTGACGAGTTCTAATTGCTCATTACCTCAAGAAATTCCGCGCGCTATGGTACGCGTACTTGCAATTTGTGTTCCGTTACGTAAATGTGTTAAATATCAGAAAGGGAAAAAAAATAGGATTAAAGAAATAATGCTATATCAACGGATTAATGGTTCACAAAGGCACGGGAACATTTAATAACAAACATTTGGTTCCTTTTTTTATGCAGATCCTATTGACAATTGTAAACTAGGTTGGTAATAAGCAAGAATAATACAGATCTGCAGTACAATGCCAAGTTTACACATGTAGATATTAATAGTAAATGATAATGAAATGAAATGATCCAATCAAGCATATTAAGGAGAAGCGAGGCCCAATGAATCAATTGGACGTCTGAAAGAAATATAGGGGAGGTCAATGCTATTAGGATACCAAGATAAAGAATTACTTTTTCATTCTCTCGTAATCATTTCCATAAAGCAACGTCCATAAGGCTTTTTTCGGATAATACAAGTCGTACGAACAGCAGGCGTGATTGCATTGTGTCTTGTATCACTCTTACTCCTACTTTTTTTGCACCTGCATAAACAACACTATAAACAAACGAGTCCTTGAAGACAAAATGATGTATTATTCCTCTTTTTTTTCTTTTTCATTTTTTAATATAACTTTTCATACAAAGAAAAGCCGTTAGTTTTTATCTTTAATTTTTTATCGTACATCTTTATCTTTCCTTAACGTCTTCTCTCTTTCTTGTACAATGAACAGTCATCAAACCATAAACAATGTTAACAACGAACAAGAAGATTGTTATGGTTACATCAGTCAAGAAGAACGAGGATGCTACTTTAATTATGATAATTGTATGATGGAAGCTATTACAGAAGCAGACTATCAAGATCAGCTTTATGTAGAAGACGAACAAGACGAATATGAAGATGATCCCTTACTCGACTTAATAATGGGTGTTCAAAGCTATTTGGCAGAACAGGCCAAGATATTGAACAGCACAGTCACTGACTCTCCGCTTTATAGCCTCCAATACAAGATGTATACCTATATAAGACAAAGAGTGTATGACCTTTAGCTTTAAAAAGAAAATCAATGTACAAACTGTGTAAATTGTAAAAATAAAGCAACACTTGTTTTTTTTTCCTTCTCCTTTCCAGAACGATGTCCTCCTTGAATATAAAATAGCAATTATAGTTAAAGGAGTTGTTTCTTTCTTTTAATTCTTCTTTTTTTTTTTTGATTAAATGATTCCGTCCAAAAACAAAGCAAGGCGTCAAATATACACCAGTAAAGACAATGCCGAAAACGCATTAGAAGAGCGTAAAGACGAATCTTTACTGAATTTGGCTATGGGTGTTCAAAGTTATCTAAGTGAACGTGCCCATGCTGACTCTCCACTTCACAGTCTAGAATGTAAACTGTATGCCTACACAAGACAGGCAATGAAATAATAAAATTCATTCCCTTTCTACTGGGAAAATTTTCTCTTTAGAATTACCCTTGAAACCAATCAAAGCTTATTTGTATCACCTGAAAATACACAACAAGTCTTGTGTGACGATTTCTATCTCCATTTTATATTGTATTTAGCCTCTTTTTTCCCGTCTTTTCTTTTTCCCTTTTCTTCTTCTTTTCATAAAAGGGAAGAAGAAAGAAAGGCTTTCTTAACATCTTTCTAAAAGAGTATCAATGATGGACGAAAGTGAAATTGACCGCATTTATTCACAACAGCTACACGATGAGTTACAGAGTCAAACAAAGACGGCTGTAACACAGTTGATTGAACTTTATCCAGAGATATTCGGTTTGGACAGATTGATTGCCCCAAAGAATCAATACATCCAACAGCAGACATTGAATGAGGCTATAGCTCAGACAGTTAGAGATACATGCCTTGCTTATATCGAAAGCGGTGTTGATTTTGATCATGCACTTGTAAGAAAAAAAAAAACATGATAAATACAAATATTAATCACCTTACAGGATTGGGTACTCGTTTGGAGACAACAACTGTCGTTTAAGTCACTGAGTGAAAAATACGGACAAGAGCAGGTCATTGCATCTATTGGACATCCTCGAGCGCGTAAAGCGGTTCAACATATCTACCAAGAGGGCCTTGACAAGTATATGCAGTGGTTCCCATGGTCATGGTTTTCGAGAATGCAATTCATCGGTGCTGGAGGATTCTCAGCTGTCTATTCTGTCACAATGACACCTGCATACGATTTCCAGCCTGTTAAGATGGCATTAAAAATTGTGGATGACAAGATATTGAACGAGGCAAGTTGAATGATTTATATGGTAATCGTGTATGCAAATAACCACTCGTCTTCTTATTCATCTTGATAGATCTCTGTTCAGTCCAGAGCTTTCTTGCCTTTACTCTTTCAAGGCTTAACTGTATGTGAAACAACTGGGGATTTAATGATGGTCATGAAATTCAGCAACGATGGTAATCTCGAAGATCACATGGCACAGCTACCCTTGGGAGACCTCGACCTCAAGACAATCACAGGTACTATCTTACGTCTTGCAGCCAATTTGGCTGATTTGCATAAAGTGGGTATATGCCATCGTAACGTGCATCCGCGCAATATTGTATGCACAGATTCAGACTATTTTTTGGTCGACTATCGATTTGCCACGCCTGCACGGGAATCCTCCTCGGTCACGGCTATTACAAAGGCTGTCTACGGACGACTTCCCTACGTAGCCCCAGAGGTTCGTCAGGGGGTATATACAGAGAAATCAGACATTTACAGTCTAGGCGTGATTATCTGGCAGTTGGTAAGCAAAGTCATCTTTCCTTCGTCCGATGTCTTGCTAGACGGCAACCATAAGAATGGAGCACCAGAAGATCATGTTTATCGTGTTGAACCTGTACCAGGATTGCCAGAGTGGTATCAGAGACTGTATGTCGCTTGTATGGAGCCACGGCCAGAGAACCGACCAAATGCAAATGATATATGTACAGCACTACAACCCATTCATGACGCACTCGAATTTTCTGTACCCTTGGATCGTCGAGTGACAGGATACATTGTGGCTCGAAGAGCTGAAGTTGCGGATCATTTACGAACTTATGCCAAGGTGAAAGGAACCATTTCGGATTCGACAACACGTCTATATACCCTTTCGAGCTTGCCTTCAACACAGTCGTTTATCTTGCTGCCGTTTGAAAGTCAGCCTTTCAACACGGTGTGGAATTCTAATAGTTGCGTCCTTGATACCTTCTCTCTCTCTGCATATATTGACACGTCGTCTTCTTCATAAGGCTTTCTTTTTTTTTTTTTTTTTTCTGTCAGAAATATATAGAAATGTATAATAAAGTTGTATATTGTCCCAATTCTAAAAAACATGCACACAGACACTAATTTATAAGCTAAAACTTGGATGTATATTATTATAGCGCTAGGTTTACTTCTTTTAACATAGAAGACAATAAAAAGGCTGAATTTAATAAAGATCATCAAATAGCAGGTTATTGTAATCTCATGTATGAAGAACGTTTTATTTTACAAGGGGCCCTAGATTAGCTAACAAGATAAGCAGAGAATGGTATCATGAGAGCCCATCCAATTTGGTTAATCAAACATTAAGCACATAAATAAGTTACACTGGCAGCCATAATTCATGCAGAATATAACTGAGTCTTCCAATTCTAATACATTCCCTCCTTATACACAAATCACTGCCATAAAACGATACTTGGACGTTATAACCAAACGCGACTTACAGCCGAAAGGTTTTTATATGGAAGTAAACTGAAAAGAGCAACAAGTATGCTTAATGAAAAATACATTATAAACAAAGCGAATAGATATAAAATCAATAAAAAGGTAACGCGACTGAAAGATAGTATTTTGAAATGCATAGTTATGTATGGAAATGCCAAAGCTAGATGTTTGGGTAAACAGGAGGAATGAAGGAAATGTGAGTTTTGCTAAAAAAGGACAAAAGAGTTTGGGGGAGCAATTGATAATAAACTTCAACAGCCTAATATATGTATATATATATATATATATATATAGAAAAACGACTGAACCGGAAGAAAAGCTGTTGGTACCTCGGCGCGAGTAATGGATGCATTCAAGTAAGGCTCATTTAAAGAGGGTGCTTTACTTGAATCCGCCAGAGAAACTGATTCCGATATTCAAAACACATGGGCAATGAATGCATCAAGCAGAATAAATAAAGAAGCATGCAAATTGAGCTTCATGGTTACTAGAGAACTTTTAGAAGCAATAAACATAACCAAGCTCCCTTTTATGTCCCTCTATTTTGCATCAAACAGTTGTAATCTTTCAACTTTAATTAGGTTATTGAATATGATAAACCATGCTAATTTATTTTCGGATATATATGTGTGTATAATTGCTACAATTTATTAAGATGAGAGTGGATTGACGGTATTTTCCCAAAATGACTGCATTTGTTTAAGCTTCTTTGATGATTCCATATCTAAATCATCCAAGCCCCACAGTATCTCTTCAACCCTTCGAGAAGCTTCACCTTTCTCTAATATGACAGGATCTTCGTCATCTTTTTCTTCTATGAATTTGTTTATCCTTCGCATATCTTTTCTAACTTCATGTACTGTTTTTGCAATCGATCGAAGTCTAGAATTCAACTCTTGCACTTGACGTTTATTAACATACATGAGTTCTTTTAATTCTTCCAATGATTCTGTTGCAGTACTTGTTTCGATCGTAAGATTTCTTAAAGATGGTATAGGGTTCTCGTAGGAATAGCTTGGGTCATTTAAAGTAGATTTGATGGTAGATAAAATGCCATCTAGTTCCTTTATTGTGTCTGCTGACATCCAGGGTGTTTCTTTTCTAAGTGCACTATCTAAGCTACGAAGATAACTTGTCTGTCTTTCTCTGTCTCTCGCTTTACGGTCGATAAGATTAATGACAGATTGAATAACAAATTCAAAAGGTGGAGCAAAAGTCACGAGACCTTGAAGTGTTTCATCAAGGGACAGGGTCTTGGACAATCGTTTATGAACCGTCTTGGTTTCCCAGACAGCTGTATTTAAATCTTCAAGTTGTCTCTTTAGTACATCAAATGGATCATCATCTTCTGGATCGTTCAAGGATGACCATGAGGAAGAGAAAGAGGATCTTCTGCTTCTAATACCTGTAGAGGCTGACCACTGAAGAGGTGATAGTAGTGGACTGGTTACGTCACAGGATAACGAACGTCGGTCCATTGCCATAGAAGCTAACTTTGAAGGTGGGTCTATTGTTGTCTGTACTGGCTCATGGTGGTCATTCGTAGCAGACTGAAGTTCGGCAGCTAAAGAGGAGCCTAAAGGTACTTCATTCAAGTAACCTTTACCGAGAAGTTCGTCTTCTAAAGTTTGTCCTCCATGGAAGGCATCATCTTCATATAGAGATGGTTCTGTCATCATCTTGTTAATGAAAAAAGAAAAAGAGAAAAAGAAAGACTGACTCAGAGGGAGGAGGGGGGGAGTTTAGGGGAAGACTATTTGATGGTTACATTGTACTATTCATTTAAAGGTCAGCTATGGGCTTAAAACCATGACCTTTATGCTCTTAACCAATAAGGTTAAATTTTTTTTAATATATAATATTGATGAGTTTTCGTACCAAAAAGTAAATTAATCTTTTGCATATTGAACCTCAAATGTTTGGAAAGCCATTGATCTCCCTGCTTAATGTATTAAGATTCTATATTTGTAAAAAAATAAGCTTTGGCTTGTTTATCTGAAGAACAAAACATAAAAAGAACATTAATACTTTGCCCCAGCTACGGCTTCGTATTGAGCCTTCATGCTTCGGACCAAACATGCCGCTACTCCAGGACTTATCTTCTTCTACTCTTTTCTCAGCACAATAATCAACTCTTTAGTATCTTTTATCTTATGTCTTCTTTGATTTAGAGCTTGAAGACCTTGGCTTAGAAGAAATAAAGCAAACTTATCAACCTATGTTTCTAGATCCTGGGAGAAAGTGTGTTTACTGCCGCAATTGGTTTAGATACAACCAGCCATCAGATAAGAAGTTGCTCAACAGCAGATTATTACCATATTACCGGGTCAACCCAGTACCTTAAAATATTAGAAAAGCTTAAGATTAAAAAGGGCATAAAAGGAATTGAAACTAATATCCCTTCTCCTAAGACATAATACGCCGCCTATCTCGTCTACATTAACTTCATTCTTATTCATGTTGATATCTTTCTGGCGATCGTTAAAAAGAGAGAAAGCAGCTGGGGATCTCATCGCAGTTACAATTGATGAATACAAGACATCAAAAGCTTGCAATGCTTGTAGTAACGATCCCCTTACAAGTATGTCCGAGTTGAATGGCCATTAGTGTCCTGGTCTGCAATACCTGCAAGATACCATGGAAACGAGACGTGGACGCTTGTAAAAGATGCTGTCCATTTCTCTTTCGGTTTAGGATGGAAGAGGCCGGACTTCCAACTATAGATGCTGTTGAGATGGCTGTAATACGTTAGCTTTATCAATCCAAGCAGCGGATGTGCCGGCTGTTTGCATTTTTGGGTGCTATAACCACAGCCAATCGATGGTTTTCTTCTTTTTTTTTTGAGCTCATGAATGATTCAAATAGCTTAGCATTCCTTTAACCAACCAGCAAAACGGAAAACGTTTTTTAATCCATCACAAAAATCGCAACGATGTGGGAAAGTAAATGTTAAACATCGGAACAGCGACATATAGACGGGCGTCTGTCAAATGCACAGAGATAGCATGAGTACACAGCTCTTTTATCTGCAGAAGTTAGACTAGTGCTACGAACACTGTCTCTACCCATTACCTATGATGTTGCCCAAGAAGAAATAAAAATAAATTTTATTCTAATTTTATGTTGCCAGTGCGATCAACAAAGACTACCTAGTTTACGTGTAATTATTTAGCCTATTTTCTGGTGCATGTAGTGTTGGCCTCGTAAATTTTATATGCCTTGTAGATCTTCATTCCTGATACTACCATACATCATCTTATAAGCTGAGTGAAACACACCAAGAAAAACTCGAGAGAAACAAAACAACAACACAATAAAAAGCTTTACTAATGTGAAAGTTGAAGTATCTTTTGTATATATAGAGATAAGATATGCACCAAGGCACAAATTATAATACATGAAAGTATATAATCTTTTTATTGAAATCTACCAGGTCTGTCTTCTACTCATAGTTGAGCTTTCTAAACGATACACTCTTAAATCACTTGTATGATCATGCATTCGTTTTCCCCAGTCTTTGAGCCGAACAACCTAGGAGAACTCAGTAAATATGAAATGGTGTAAGCTATTACTTACCATAGCAGTGATATTGTCTTCACTATGTAGTTCATCTGCAGTGTCCACTACCTTTCGAGCTGCTCTTGCTGGTTCATTGTGTTGCTTGACCTAATATGGTCTGAGTCTTGCTTGTGTTTTTTATTATATGAGTCACCTTACAATATCAACCACTTCTTGATCCGATAATACTGAAGTAATGCCATCTGTCACCAGGACCTACAGCACATGTATAAGCAAAAAAAAAGGAAGCCTAAAAAATACTTTACCATAAATGCTGCCGGATTCTTCTGTCGTATTCGGTATCTAACAATATCGGGCTCAGCGGAAACGCCATACTTTTTCAGTTTCGCATCTCCAAACGCCCGGCTTGTAGCCAACATACCCATAATTCGCTCATCTCCCCAAGAATCTGTCGTCACAAACCCTGCATACTTTCTCAGTCGTTCTATTTCTGCGGGATTCCCCGGATGATGGTCGCCTGTTGTCAAAGGAACGACCTCACCTGAACTAGAATCACACAGTAATATCCTCGTATCGCCTACATGACCTATGACAATATCATACTCCTCGCTTTCCCAAAATGCCTTTTTGTCTCTGGGCTCTATAACCGCGATACTTCCCGTTGATCCTTCATGATCTTCATGAGAATCATCAAACTCACCACGCAGCTGCTTCAAGCACTGCATATCTGCTTCTAAGAACGCCAGTGTCAATCGCTGCTCTAGGGTCAGATCATGGATATCTACTCCTTCTTTGGGTCGACCGTCGTTATCTACAAGTGTCTCTAGTACTTTAGGAATCGGGAATCTGCGAAAATAGCCTCGATAGGCGCGCAAGAATGTCAAGACTTTGGCAAAGTCGTCAAGTGTAACAGATTCAATACGGTCATGTAATCTATGTGCTAACCTAACCATGTAAACTGGTTCAAAGATATTGATATTACTTGAAAATTCTAAATTACCATTCTGAAACAACTGGTCCTCCATGCCTATTGTCAAGTGTTATTTGAGTTCTTCCTTCCTCAGTTTCTTTTACTTTTACCCGTCGAATATTCCAAAATAGGCTCTGTCTGCTTCTTTTGTCATGTGCAGTAATTGTGGGGTATTCGCTAATTCTAAAGAAACAGCACTGTAATTATCTTCATTTGCTGATCTTGTGCCTCTTGATGTGTATATGCCAAGTAGTTTATTAGGTGTGCTTAAGTTTATTCTTAATAGGCTGTCTAATATGTAGTCAGAAAGGAAGTGTGTATATTCTATAGCAACTGTTACCATTCAAGCCTTTTGTTAAATAATAGTTTTTATAGCCAAGTTTTATTGTTGTAGAAAAATGCCGGATATATTGACTGAATGGCCTTGGGAATGGCATTAGAATGTTGAAAAAGAGAAAGAGAGAGAGAACAGAGACAGCGGAAAACTAAAAAGCCACAGAGACAAAAGTGCGTGTATGTCTTGTGTGTGCCTGTCAAATTGAAATATAAAGTTCTCTCTTTTATAAACAATGACCGTAACTCTCTATGATAGCAGTTGTGTATAAGCATAAGCTAGAAAAATAAAATCACCGCGTTCCCTGTGATGAAATGTTGTTCTCTATGTGTGTGCCTCGAAATATATTACACACAAATGGTCATGTATACAATAATCAGGCCCTTCCTCCCTTCCTTCTTTCTCTTTCCCCACAAAGAAAGTTATGAAAACGAGTGCATGATGAAATATACAATAAAAAAAAAAGAACTGTATTATACAATTTTAAAGGCTATTTTTTGTGTACTTTTGATATAAAATAAAACTAATGAACAACTTGAATTCCAACGCTCTTTGCTACTCCAATTATACTGCTTGCGATACTTTGCAATGACAAATGCTTCATATTTTCGTCTGTTTGCTTAATTTTAGCAATTTCATAAATATGTTTCAAAGTAACTTTTCCAACTGTTTCTGTGCCTGGTGTATGTGCTCCCTTTGTAATACCTGCTGCTTTCTTTAATAAATATGTCGTAGGTGGTGTTTTGACAACAAAGTTGAATGTACGATCAGGTTTGATGGTGATCACAGTAGGTAATGGTGTATCGGTCACAATGTGCTTGGTTCTGTCATTAAATTGCTTACAAAAATCTATTGATTTCACACCACGGGCACCAAGTGCTGGACCAACAGGAGGGGTGGGTGCAGCCTTGCCAGCACCGATGAGTAATTTGACAAAAACTTCAGCTGCCTGTTGCTTCTTGGACATGTATTTATATGGCAGAAAAAAACCACAAAAAAAAAGGCAACCCTTGCACCTTTAGAAGTGGCTTACAACTTCAATATCAGACACGGGTGTACTTTTAACTCAGCTGGGGACAACCTTTGGAGGGGTCAGGAACAACGATAGGATTTTATTTTCAAAAACAACAACAAAAAGAGCTGATGTCAATGATTCTAAAGTAATCAGGATATGCATTGAATGATACACACCAAAAATACCTTCCATTGACATAAATATAGTTAATATTTCGGCCAACGTTACTTTTTTAAGAATTCAAAAGAAAGAACAGAAACAAGAAGCTAATGCTTGTCATTCAAATTTGCAATCTTTAGATGAATTTGGGCTTTTTCATATTTAAGATCATCTTTTTATTTGAACATGTTTACACCAAGATGCTATCTACATCATCACATCTTTTCCAGCTCAATGAAAAGAATCTACAATCATTACTCTTTACTGCTAAAGTCTTTGAGTGACTCTTTAAGCCAACACATGAATAAAGTCTGCTGACTACAAGATGTACGACCGTCACATCCAGCGAGATATTCACTTTCTGATAAATACAAAGAATAACTATCGTCCATGTGCATGTTGCGTTTTTCATAAGTCATACTACGCTGTTTACAACTGTCATATATATACTCTAATAATACATAACCTTGTCGTATGAGATTAGTTTATGCATTCTTCAAGAAAGGGGACTCATTAACTATAAAGAGGGAGAGAGAGAGTCATGTCTGGATTTGAATAAAGGAAATAGCGCGCAGGTCAAACACTTTTTCTTTCCATGAATTCTTCCCTTGATATTCCTCAATTTGTCATAATTCATGACCAAACACTGAATGCATACAAACATCCTGTAATTCATTATGTATTTGAACAAGAAGAGTTCCCAGAAGTTCCGAAGGATAAACTGATTGTTGTTGAACTTGATTCAACAGCGACTCAATTAACAAGCGTCGATAGTTACAGTCCTGACTTTCAAGTGACTGACTGTATACTCGAACAGAGCAGACTCAGCAGTCAGTTTGAAAAAGAAGAATCAAACCTATTCAACTTGACGATCGAAGGAGTATCTGTTCCAGTAGTGTAAGTTGTAAAGTTGATAAAAAAAAAAAAAGTATTATTTCTAATTGTATATATTGTTAGTCACCAGACACCTTCCTCACAACCGATTCATAGCATAGACAGTCTAAAAGAGACCATATTTCAATTTAAGGATAGGTAAATAGCCGCATAGTCATTTATGAGTCTTGTTGATATGTTTTATATAGAAATGAAATGGTTAAAAAAGTCTTTAAACAACCAGTCTCTGAACAGCAACAAGATAATTCTATGAATATCTCTTTACATTAGCTGCATACACACACACACGCATTTATCTCATAAATAAAAACTCAGTTTCAAAGCTGCATTACAAACTCTTTCTCTCTTTCTCTGTTTTATAATTATGTCTCAAGATTCCAAAGAATGGATCAAGTCTCGTATGAATACATTAAAAAAGCAAGCTGGTTTTGCTTTTAATGAAGATGTTTTCATTTCTGTCTTATTATGCTTGGTATCCGGAAGAGATAAACATCTCATATTAACAGCTCCTCCAGGACGACTAAAGGAAGTGACTCAGTTAGCCTCACAAGTAATAAAAAGTATACTTATAATAACAGACAAACTAAGATGTATAGATCTGTAGGTGCTTGTTTGGCCTGACAACAGCACAATTACAATGTCATGAGGCACAGACACAAAATGAATTAGTTGACATTTTGTTTAGTTCAAAAGATGAAAACAATGATTCGTTTTATAAACCTTCATCCTTTCAAAAGGCGAGCCGAACTTTTCATACAACCGATTTTAATTCAAGTCGAAATACAACACCAAAGGTAAATAGACAAGTAAATGAAGAAGCCTAAAGTAATTCAAAACAGTTAGAAGACGAACTCTTTCATACGACACCTATCAGTCCAGTCGATTTTACCTTGAAACGAACTAAGCAATCGCTCTATACCTCCTTGAAAACTGGACGTCGACAAGAAAATGAAGAAAAGAGACCAGCAGCGACCAAGATTGTTCAGGCACTGCTTGTGGAAGATTTAGATAAGGCAGATGAGTCGATTCAGGCCGTCCTGTTAGAACTGATGATCAATAAGGAACTTCGTTTATCCAACATTCGATACAATGTGCCAAAGCCCTTCTTTTTGATTATCGCTGTACTCCCTCATGACTTCAATCGACGGTCTATTAGTGCTCAATTGGTACCATGACATATGATCCTTTATTACTTCCCTTCTCTTATACCTCCTTTTTAAAGATTGATAGGTTCTTTATTAGCTATCAGTTTGAGGAAGAGATGTTCCAGACTCTATCATTATCTAGGCCATTTACAAGACGACAGGCATTAATGAGACAGGATGTAAAGTGGTAGAGAGTTACATTCATGCTGCTGACATATGAATATAGGAAATCAAAGTTTTGTCAGACAAGGCTAAAAAGGTCCATGTTCACATCGATATCTCTCGTTATGTGCGTGATATTGTCGTGGGTATACGAACTCATCCAAGAGTAAAGGGAGGCATCACGGCAAGAAGCAGCCAAGATCTTGTTACTGTTATCAAGTAAGAACAAAAGAAGATTTTTTTAGTTACTTTACTTATCAACAACAATTAGGTCACTAGCTGCACTTTTTGAAAGAAACTTTCTTACACCTGATCTAGTCACGATCGCAACCGAGAAAGTGTTTAGCCATCGCTTACGGATGTTGGCTATTAATGAAAGAGATGATCAAATGGAAAGAGAAGAAATGGACAGTAGCATAGCTTTTGATATTATAGCAGAAATACTTCATGCTGTTAATGTGCCAGTTTAATAAATGTGTTTATTTCAATTCACCACGGACCCATTGTTGTAACATGTCAAGACCGCTTTCAGGTTGGTCATAAGGAACCATGTGACCAGCACCAAAGACACGCAAGAAAGCGAATCGACCATCCTCCGTTCTACGAAGTTCACCAGCTTGTTTTCCAAGGATATCAGAATGCCATTCGGTATCATTAGCAGCCTGGAATTCGCTTCGGCCAGACCAGGGCAGCTCGAGCGTCCAAGCTTTGTTGCCCATCCAGTTACAGATGAAATCAGCGTCACCAGCATAGATCAAGACACGAATATCGTCTTCCAAAAGAGGAGGTACTTCATTGACATAAGGACGCATCCAATCGCCAGCCATTTGGAATCTAAAGTTGATTTGCATGTTGCAGGATTCATATTCTCTTGAGACATCGACACCTACTGCCTTCTTCACTTCAGGAATGTTCAAGTACTTTTGGACACTTTCAAGAATTTCGTAGCACAAGTTGCCTCCTTTGCACTTCTCACGTACGTCATAGGGATTCATACCAGTCATTTGGTATGGTTGAATCTGATCCTTATTACATTTCATGGCTGCAGGCAAGCAGGCAAAGACGTTTTCGTTATCGTAGCAGTTTTGAATCAATCGCTCACATGCAGGGAATTGAGCTTCCATTGATCGGCAGGTTGATTGGTCCAAAACGGGACCATATGAGTTCTCACAGGCCATCTTGGCATAGTATTTGTATTGAATTAAAGGGTCAGTCAAGCCATTACCAATCAACAAACTCTTCAAGTTGATGGGTGATAGCGTTTCTTTGTTTGCAAATAGTTCAAATGACTTGAAGTTGCCCTTGTTGTTGCGGTTAATTTCACCACCGATTGCAGGAATATAGTGGCCAGCATCTATATATAGCTTAGAGTGAGAAAAAAATATAATAAAAAAAAGAGTTATAATTACATGATTCACCAGAGACGTGGAAGTCAAGGTGAGCGTATTCTAGATGATGAAGTTAGCATTGTTATCTTTTTTTTTTTTTTCTCTCTCTTTGCGTTCAAAAAAACTTACGTGGGAATTGCTTAAAAAAGAGTTGAAGAAAAGCATAAACATCCTTGGCAGCGGCATTTGTATTGGATGCACCTCGACTGCCATAAGAGTAACCAACATTTAAGGGCTATGGTAGTGTTACATAAATGATGCATGAAAACTTTTTTTTTCCTTACTTGATCCAAAAAGATGACGTTTGCCTTTTCATTCCAAGAATATTTGTTAAGAATCGTATCAGTACCTTCCAAATTGACGGTACATGGACTAGATATAAACAGTTAGCGCCATATGAGTAAAAGAATAAACAAATTTACCCAAGTTCCATAAAGAGACCCGTCAATGAAGAACAACCAGGACCACCATTCAACCAGAGAACGAGTGGATCTTCTTTTGGCTTATCTCTTGATTCAAAGAACCAAAAGAAAAAGTGTTTGTCGTCATCGACGTCCAAATAACCAGAGATCTAAATCAAGATCAGTTATGCATGCTTTTTTTTTATATATATATTTTACTTGTTTGACGTCAGGGTCACAGAGAGAAGGTTGCTTGTATCTTAGAGAATAACTTGAGAAAGCAGGATGAGTAAAGACACGGAAATCATCCGAGGCATCAGTCTTGGGATGGAAGATATCCTTGACTCTGTCTGAAGTTGCTTGAAATACGTGCTGGGCATCGCCCCAGACGTGTTCACCAAAGTCAATAATTGATTTTTTATCAAGTGGACTTGGCTCAGCAAAAGTACAGGTCAACAGACAAGAGGCGATAATAGCCGTCTTGGCAAGTGAGAGTAAGCTTGGCATAATTTTTTTCCTTTTTTTCAAAAAAAAAAGAGAGAAAAACAAAAATGATAAGAGGGTGCAACTTTATAGGTCTTGTGAGCCCTTCTGTTTGTTTGTATCTCCGTTCCTCCGGTATAAAAAATAACAAGATATAATAACCATTTTAAATATATGTGTGTAATAAAGAATGTATTAAAGTGCTTGTAGCCATTATGTACGTGTTTTCCCTTTAATGCCTTTTTTTTTTCATGTTATATATTTGTAACGATGCAATATGTGTACAACTATTGAAAACAAACCAAAAAAGGAAATAAAAGATAAAAGCAGGACAGAGCTATCGAGAATAGTGGGATTGGACAAAAGCTAATAGAATAGTTTACATAAAAAAAAGAAAGAGAGAGAATCCTATTATAATAAAATCTTTATAGAAAGAATTCTGTTGCTGTGAAAAAGTACTCAGTTACGTCTAAAAGCATTTATTTCAAAACATGGATCCTGAATGAATAATTGATACGATTAAACAACTATTTTTTTTAAAGAGAATAAAGAGACCACTATGAGCGCATTGAAACTATATAATCTCGCCCCGCTTGGGTCAGATCAGAAGGTACATAGGATCTAAAAGCCCTTTTGAGATCAAAGGGGAAAAAGGAAGAAAAGCATACAGAGCAAGGATTAGGTCGCAAGAAGTTAAGAGGAGAGAAAAGATGGTGGAAGCCATTGAAGGAGCTTTCGCCCTAAGTCAGGCGGTAGAGGAGAGAGAGATACACCATTTTCAGAGAGAGATGTCGCGTTGATTTGTCACCTTTTCGTATAAATTGTATTATAAAAACTGCAAAAATGCGACTTACTTTCTGAAAAGACTGTGCTTACATGTATAAGCGGAGTGTGCATTTCTCTCTCTTTTTTTCTCATTTTCTGTAATCCAATGACACAGACAGTAATTGCATATAAAGACATTAAAGATCCCTTAAAGACACTTGTCGACCCTTCATCAAAAAAGAATACTGCCGATATTCTTTGTCCAAAAGAAAGTTGTAAATGCGTCATTTTAAAAAGAAATACAGCCACTCTAGTAGAAAGAGACGCTTCGAAAGTAAATAATACACACATAGCTCTCTTTTTCTTATAAATAATTCTATAATATAGCTTCAGTTACCTGCTTCTGCTTTACCCGATAATAACATAGATCAAATAGAAGAAAATGCTCAGTTTTGGCTTGTTGGCAACATGATGGATTTTGAAAACGTTGGATTTTCAAAAACAGTCGATACGACAAAGTACCTCTCCTGTGCAGACTGTGACTTGGGGCCCCTTGGATACCACGACACAGCAAAGGAACCCAAAGAATATGTGATTAGCATCCAGAGAGCAAGATATAGACTTTATTGTTAAGACCAGCATTCTTCTTGATACTGTCCTCTCTTTACCAATAAACTAAAGTAAGCTTCACTCTCTTGCGCACTTAGACCGCCCTCTTTCATAAAGATCTGCTTGAAGGCGTAAGCCACTTGATCAGGCATCTTGCCTGTAGAGCCAGAAATGACCACTTTAGCTCCTTGTTGGTTGATAAGGTCCCACAAGAAACTCGATTGTTCCAAGATACGGTCCTGGACGTACACTTTTCCACGCTGGTCTCGAGAGAATGCGGTATAGAGCACGAGCTGTCCTTTGTCCTGATACGTGTTCCATTGATCTTGGTAATAAAAGTCTTTATCGTGGTATCGACAACCAAAGAACAGCACGTTCTGCTTGGTTCCAATCGCAACTCTTTCTTCTATAAACGATCGCATGGGAGCAACACCCGTACCTTTTATGCATGATGTGTGAGTATTTGTACCATTGTTTCTCTACGCAGCCTTACCTGGACCAATCGCAATCAATGGTGTATCCGCAGGAGGTAAACTCATTGTTCCCTTCATGATGACCACTCCCGGGATGATGTCACCAGGCGCCAATGTCGCTAACCATTTTGTCATGACACCCCTTCGTATTCTTTTCAAATTTGTCTTGTACTTTACAATCGCCACACACAATTCCATCCGTCCAGGGTGCATCCTTACGCTAGAAGCAATCGAAAATGACCTTGGCTTTAATTGTGGAAAGACATCAAGGATATAGTCCAATGGAATCTCTAAAGGCTGAAAGTCAAACAGGACTTCAGTGATCGTACGTCTTGGACGTAGCGAATAATTCCACATGTCCTCCTATAAATCAACATTTTAATGAAGCTCCTTTTTACTCTATTTTCTTATTCTTACCTGACCCTCGGGAGAACTAAACTCTCGTAATCTTTCCTTCAAGTTTTCGTCTTTTGTGAAATAAGCCAGCATTTCAAAAAACGATCGTCTAGGTACACCAAAGATATCAAGGTGATGGATAAATAAATCTCTAAATTTTAGTTGTTCGGGCCAAGACAAGACAGCTTCTTCGTTGGGAGTGATGCGGATCATTTGATCAGCGTACTCTGACCAACCCATCAAGCCTAAAAACATGTCGACTTCTTCACGCAGGTTTTGCGGCATGATCACGGCAATGTCTCCAGGCTGATATGCGAGTTGGTCGGATGCAAGTTCGATATGTCGAACGTCTTGAAAGTGATCGGGTGCTGTGATCCTTGTGTTTTGAATCACTTTCATGTCAATCCCTTGTTGTTGTTGTTGTTGTTGTCTTACTGGTATTGTTGCATCAGATGATAAAAGCTCTATACGAAAAGTTGGTGGCAATGTACAAAGTAGTTAAGGATGTATAGGGGAGATAGTTTAAAAAGGTGATTAAGCATATATATATATATAAAAAGGATATAATACATCTTCAGATAATATAGGTTTGCTTGTAGGATATTTGTCCATGACAATACTCCAGAATTGTACAGTCCAAGGTATGAATGCACCATCTATGCTGTTTATAAATTATCAGTTATATTCTCTCTCTTTTCCTTGCTCTTTTCAATATACCCTAAATAATGTTGATCATCACAATCACATCTTTCGAGTAGCATATTTGCACCTAACTGTAGCAGTCTCTTGTATAGCTTTTTAGAAGGGTAATTAAAACTGACACTTCATTAGATAATGTCATGTCGCATTCTATCTTTCTTACTTTCTATAAGATGAATCGCCTAATCCAACTACTGCACAGTCTATGTCACTCAAGATATCATTTGGTAGATTTTTGCGTAGTAAGAACCTCCAAAAGCTCTAATAGTCCCAAAAGGCTTAATCCTCATACAAGCTATATTATCTCGGGTTTACCTTCATATTAGCAGGTTCGTCTCCTTGCCCTGCTGTCGAACAAATAAAGACAACGAGCTTTTCTTCTACTAGTTGACTCTACATATATTATTAGTCTACATATAAAGAAAAAGATGTGTATATATACTCTATCATAGTCATCCATCGCATACACTCTTGTCTTGAAATGACGACGTTTTGCTTGTCTTGCCAAGTTTTCTGCAAGGTCTTGAGAAGATCCCGTTTCGGATCCATATAAAATAACAATCGACCGACTTTCGTTCTCCATTAATAGCAAAGAAACAAAAAAGAAAAGAAAAAAGTATTATTTATTCTCAGCATCGCATTGTTTCTCTTTATTTTTCTTTCTTTCTTTCTTTCTTTTTCTTTAATTATTAAAGATGACAACAGGTCATCAATATAATTACCAAGACTATGTACCGACTGAAGGCGTATTTTGCCCTATATGTCAAGCCCCTTGTGTTTCCTTACAGGACTTGAATAATGTATATGCGAATAACTGCATCATTGATATATTTATTTACACACATGATAGCATTTAGATAGAGAACACAGCGAAGAGGACTCCAAAGGCGCCTTGTTGAGTTGGCTACGAAATGCACAAAAGAAGGTATCAACCTCCCTGACGACCAAGAGTGTGCCCAAGCAGTGGGTTGACTTGAGCAGTAACCCAAGCTTTTTTGTGTCAGACCAACAACAAAGCGAATATGTTACACAAGACCATTGGCAACGTGAAACAGGCAACGATAAGTGCCAGATGCCAGAGTGTACCAAGATTGTAGGAAAATCTGGAGCAGGGAAACAGCATTGCAGAAAGTAAGAATGACTGTATAAATATAATGTATTAACAAAGACTTTTAGATGTGGCAAGTTGTTTTGTGCGTTTCATACGCAATATGAAATTAGACTCAATAGACAAGCACAGCATGACCCAGAGAATGGTGTTTGGTGTAAGGTGTGTATGGGCTGCTATGTGAGTCGAAAAGGATATATGGATCATGGGGGAGTGACACGTGATAAGACAAGTATTTTATTGAGCAAGAGGGTCAAGATTATTGATAAGGTTCATTTGGAAAGCAATCGATTAGAGAAACGCTTGGAAAAGGTAAAAAA